TTACGTAGTTGCTTCTTTAGTTTTTTTTTTTTCTTTTCTGCTCCGGAAGGCGCTGGTTCTTGCGGACTCATCGCCTGATATGACATAACAATTTCGTCGGTTTTGTTTGGAACTGGCTGAAAATATAAGTGCGAACGCGATCGTTTGCTGCCGGACGAATGACACGCGTTTTTTTTTTTTTGTTCGGAATTTCAGTGGCATGTCCGAGATGACACGACGCGAATGCATTAAGTCCGGGGTAACCTCGGGTAGGCCCTGCGCGCTCATACCGCTCGTACATGATACAAAAGACACGATGTCCGCTTCAGACATGACGACAGAATTATGTGCGGACATGTGTTCATCTTTGCTTCATTCATATCTCGGAACATGCCTGCGGACAGTTTCCGTATAACCAATGGGATACGAGAAAGATTCGGACAGTGTCTGCGGACGGCAAGGTGACTGGGGCTTTGAGGTATACGGGTGTCAGCTGGCCCTGCATGAACGCGAGAGCCCCGCGGGCGTTGGCCCCCTTACCCTTCGGCGGCGTGCCCCGGCTCTCGGAGCGGCGTCGGGGCGAACCCAATTTCCGCTCTCATTTCGCGCTTCGGGCGACATCCGCCGGCCTCAGCTGTTCGCAATGAGCCTGACGTCAGGCGCCTCGCCGCGCCTCCGTCCCAGCTCCGAGGCTTTTCCGCCGTGCACTACATCGATGGCTCTTTCGTACACTTCGCGCTCACGCCGCTTGCAGGCCACGCAGCTGCGGTCTCACGACCCAAACCTGGCTGTACGCTTCGAAAAAAGTTGCGTTTTTTTTAAAGTTTACATAAAAAAAAAAAAAAAAAAGATGAAAGTGGAAATTTGTTTGGTAGGCGTTACCTTTCAGAGTTATGTGCTACCGGCTTTAGCGAACGTCATGCAGAAAAAAAAGAGGGGGGGGGGGGGGGGGGCAGACGCATCTATGCAACTGAAAATAAACTATTACTCGAAATGCGTTTAAATAAAATAAAAAAAAGTCTCTCACCTAGGGGGAACTTCCGGCTATTGGGAAGACTTCAACCTCCGTTCGGTGCACGTTCATAGTCGTCAACAGTGGCGAGGAAGCGAATAGGGAACGCTCTTTGGCATCAGTGAGGACTTCACTTCACTTCACTTTATTTCCTTAAAGACCCCTTCGGGAGGGGTATTACATAAGGGGTGGGAGAATATAAAAAAGAACAATAACTTGAACAATAGGTTGTTACGTTGGATTGATGGTTGTTACAGCTTCAGCAAACCTTAATGGGCAGGTGATCGTAGCAACTTCGCCGGGAAGGCCGTTCCAGTCTGTTGCAGTACGGGGGAAGAAGGAATTGAAAAAAGTGGCAGTTCGAGTGCGGTGACGGGTGACCTGCAATGGGTGACCTGTTCGGAGAGAGATGCGGGCGTGGGGTACAATGTAGGGCGCGTGATGGAGCGGAGAATAGAAAAACTTGTGAAATAGACATAAGCTAGCAGTTTGGCGACGAGAGGAGAGGTCTAAAAGGCCCGATTCAGCTTTTAAGGATGAGATACTAACTTTGTACGAGTAAGATGAGTGGATGAATCTGGTGGCGCGGTTCTGAACCTGTTCGAGTGCATAACTGAGATAGGCTTGGTGCGGGCTCCAGATGGGGGATGCGTATTCCAGCTTTGACCTTACGAGTGATTTGTATGCTAGCAGTTTTATGCTTTGAGGAGCGGTACGTAGATGGCGTTTTAGAAATCCTAAACTTTTATTTGCTGATGAGATAATGTTAGTGACATGTGCGCGCCATGATAGGTCGCTACCTAAGGTGACACCAAGATATTTATAGGACTGTACTAGTTCGACGGGAGTGTTAGCAATTGAATAGGGGAAAAGGAAAGGGTTGGTTCGGCGATGAAAGGACATGAGTTTGCATTTATTAGGATTAAGTGACATGAGCCAGTGGTCGCACCATTCCTGGATGCGGTTGAGGTTTTCCTGTAGATTGATTTGGTCAGAAATGTTAGTAACTGGTTGGTAAATAACGCAGTCATCGGCAAACATACGGATTTGGCAAGTAACGTGTAAGGGTAAATCGTTAATATATATGAGGAATAGCAGTGGGCCCAAGACGGAGCCCTGGGGAACACCTGATGATACTGGTAGGCAGTTGGAGGACTGGTTATTAACGAGGACGGACTGAGAGCGATTAGTCAAAAATTCCTGTATCCATTTCAAGACGTCAGGGTCTAATCCTAGCCGAGAAAGTTTTAGTAGCAAGCGTCTATGAGGTACTTTGTCGAAGGCTTTTGCAAAGTCCAGGAAGATAGCGTCAGTTTGGCAGTTAGAGTCGAGATAGGTATGTAAGTCGTGGAGAAAGAGAGCTAGTTGAGTTTCGCAGGAGAAGTTCCTGCGAAACCCGTGCTGAGAAGAGTGAAAGAACGAGGACGACACATTTCGGCACCTTGGCAAAGTTCAGTGCGATGCATTTCAGCTTGGTCATCTCGCCGCCTCCTGTTTACACGACGTGGGTGAACATGAATAGGAAGAGGCCTCCGAGGTCTGGCGATTATTTCTCCAGGGCGTTTGTGTGCGCCCGTGTCTCTGTCGGGGGACGGGCGAGGGTGTTACCTTGATGTGCAGCACCAGATATAAATTTGAAAGAGAAAAAAAAAAAATCACTTTTGGAATAGGGTGAAAAATTGTTTATATCAGAGTTCTCAAACTCATTTGAGTGTGGAGGTCCAGATCGGGAAGGTTGAGGGCCAACGTAAGAGTTAAGGGGGGGGGGGGGGGGCAGGGGGGGGGGGTGTTCAAAAGATTTTAAAAGAGATCTCGTGGTGTATACTTTTTGTAAATTCACAATTTTGCTAGTGACATATTTAGATTAGCTTTTTTATATTGCTATTTTGGGCCTTGAACTCATCTGATAACAAAAATTAAAATGACGCTGCCCCGCCAAAGTGCTGACATTTCTGATAGAGCAAGAGAACCAGTACACCGTCGCTTTTCGTTGCTCAATTCATGAGGAATTAACCAGGCTCAACATGTTTAAAAAAAAAAAAAAAACATTCTGTTAGTTCGGCAGTTCTTCTTGCTTTCCTGACGATTTTTGTTACAATTATGGAACGAATACTTGTCTTTTAATGGCAATATTTTTTTTTGAAGGCGAGAATCCCGAGCTCGTAGCTTTATCACTGGCAGTAGCTCCTGCTGATCGAGAGTTCGCGGAGCCGATATGCATTTTTAAACGAATATCTCGCGCTTCCAGCCAGAAGCGGAATTGTTGTACATTACAAAAAGCTGGGAAGCAAAAAATAAAGCGAAACAATGGGCAAATGAACACAGATAAGCATAAACTATGTGAATACGTTAAGAGAGCGGAGCTACTTTTCGAGCGAAAATGACGAGACGAGTTGAGATCACCATGACGCATGCCATTTCTAGAGTTCGAGACATGGGAACCGGGAATCGTATAGCCGGTTGAAGTGTGTAGCCAAACGGCCCAAAACGATGTTAAACGAAATAAATCAACCTTTTCCCCAATGGACGCAACGAACGTAGTGCTAACAGAGAATGTATTGAGGGTTACTTTGTGGTCAATTGGACAGATGAACTTGGCACGTATTTTGTATTTGTACAGCGCGAACATTGTGTAGCGTCTCTGAAAAATATCCCTCCTATGGGGATGTAAGGTGAGATTGACGTCACCTCTGACCCTGCAATTTCGCGCCTCCTAATTTCCTCCGAAGAACGTGCTTATTCCCTTCCTGTTCGCCTCTTGCAGTCTTTCATCGTATGTGCGAACACGCTCACTCGACATCCCCTGATAACAAGGCCAATCCACACAACACAACCTGGGTTTACAAAAGAAACGATGGGAAGCTAAAATCACACATGCCAGTTCGTGCCGCTGTCCTCGTTCATGGGGATCGCCTTTTCCAATGTAGGATTTGCGAAGTCTTTGCTAGGATATTACAAGTCGTAGCAAGGACATTACAACTTGTTTAAAGCCGGGGTCGCAATATCCGTGGTTCGAATGCCGCGTGTCAAGTTTCTCCTTGAACTCATTGCCATGCGGCATTCGAAGCACGGATCTCGCGGTGACTCGCGTGGAATCTGTACGCAGTCTGAGTTTTCTATGATATAGGAGCAGTGTGACGCTAATGTTACGCTGCCAAGCTCAAGTATTGCTGAAACGCGTCTGCTTCGAGACAATGAATTTTTTCCAAGAAGGGTTAATTTCGCACGTGCGCGAGCTCTACTCCCACCTGGCGGCGGAGGCTCGTATCTGCTTGGCAAAGGCGGAAGCTAAGCCAACTTGTTCAAAACAACGATTATTTGAGACTGCGTGGAAAAAATCATTGCCACGGTTGGGCACGCCCACAACTCGCGCATCTGTTGAGCTTTCCACCGAAGGTAGTGCGTACGGCCGCCGCTTGGCGCTATTTTATCAGGAAGAACAATTGGAGAAAGAGAAAACAGATCGCCCCGGCTAGCATTTGTGTATATCGAGGGAGCTCGTAACAATGTCATTAAAAAAAAAGCTTGAACATTTTGAGTAGCCTAATTGAGGAGGACGGAAAAACGGGATTCTTGAAGAATGTTTCCAAGACAACAAACACCTTACCGAGAGGAAATAGAACAGATTGACTGGTGATCAAACGACATCTTAGACAGGGCCTTTATAATTCATATTTTACTTAGTAAAATAAAAGGTAAAGCTAAAGAATCTTGGTCATGGTTTCAGTTACTCGCGCAAAATGTACTTGAAGTAAGCGTCTATATAGATACTCATCTACAAATGCAGCTAGATGCCGGTAAGCAGCCGTGGCCGTACAACGGGGCAAGAGAGCGGCGCGAAAGGTGGCCTCGGCCAGCGACCCTAGCTCGCGGACTCCTCGGCGCGTGCACAGGGAGCGCCCAGGGGAGCCCCGTTTCGAGTGCGGTTCCGGCCCTGCGACCCAGATGGGCTTCGATCGGCGGAAAGGTGGCCGAGGAAGCGGCGAGGGAGAGGGCGCTAATGCAGCCAGGCATGGCCCCCCCGCCCACCGCCAACAGCCGTGCTCGCACCCCGCTCGTGCCCGGCTCAGACGGCATGGGGAGCCAGCGACGGCACGCGCTCTGGCTGACGGCCTCGACGCCCGTGCTCCTCCTGCTCCTGCTGCTGCTGCCAATGGTGCCAGAGAGCCTGGCCAAGGGCGCCAGGAACAGCGCCGCTATGGATACGGCCCTCAGGCAGATCAACCTGTCCCTGCTCTACACGTTGGCCTGTGGTGAGCCCTTGGCCTCCCACGCGATGTCTCGTCCCACCGTGGACTGCAGCGAGGGCTCGAGGCACGAGCTTCGAACTGTGTCTCGGATCAGCGAGTAACCGTGCACAAAAAGTACCGGATGAACTTCGGAACTCGCGCCTTCGTCCCCCGCACATTTTGGGAATGCTAAAGACGGTTTCCAGCTTTTCTTTTTGAATAACAGGAGGTCAAGAAAGCTACGGAAATTTGTTGAACATTTTAACTAGCCTTTTTTTTTTTGAACATTGTCGGAAGCTGACTGTGTCGAACATACGGAAGCCTTTCATATAGAGAGCGAAAGCACGGCGGAAGAAATCAATTTACATAAAATGGACGTAAGCACGAGTTACCTAAGCCGCTCACGGCACTGCGGAGAGAGAGGGTGGGCCAATTTTGTTTTAATATAATTCGTTCTTCGCTGATCCCATAGAAGGGGCACGATGAATATGCATTAATGGATCGTGTATAGCTGACTGGCTAGCGCAGAGGCGACAGATCTCGAACTGTATCTTGCGTTAAGGCCCGTTCACGCACTCGCGACTCCTTAGAACAGAGAGCCTTAAGACCTCTCAAAATCTCTTACGACGAGTGAACACACTGACACGCTGGCGCCATCTATGCGGTGACCCTGGAACTGCATTTCACTAGAGCGAATTCGGTTTGGTGGTATTTGCGAGGTCAAATGTACGTACTACTTATAAGGAATGTTCGTTTACAACTTTTACAGGCGTTTTTAAAGCCAAGAAAGAAAGAATGATGCGCGAAAAAAATAGAGAATATGCGGGACCGCCAAGTGTTCCACTGCTACCCGATAGGTGGTGCCAGTGTGTTCTCTCGTCGTAAGATATTCGAAGAGGTTTTAAGCAACTCGGTCCTAAGAAGTCGCACGTGTGTGAACGGGCCTTTATGGTTGTATGAATTTCACGAGCACTGCATGCAACTGAGAAATGTCCGAGTACGTAGTGCACGCGGATGCATGCTGGGCCCCAACCATTGGGCTTCCTCGGATGAGCTTGGCCCAAGAGAGGGCGGTACCACGCTCCATCGCCCACGAAGCTTCCCCGAGATCTCGCGGTTATTGGAGCGTGATATCGATCGCCCTTCTGATTGGCCGAACCGATTAGAGGAAGAGCAACGATTGGTGTTCAGACCGGTTCGCGGGTCAGAGTATACGCACGAGCTCCTAAAAGTGCCCCCATGGTGCGTTCTTTTTTTTCCCGGTCGCAGATACGACGGTGAGCAGCGAGGTGCAAGTCAAGCGTTTCCAGTGCCTCCTCCGGAGCATCGTACGTGCGCAGCACCCGCGGGGGCATTAGCACCGAGGAGACGAGGCCTTTGTCCCCCAACCGTCCTCACTTGCAGGCAGCGCCGCCTAGCTTGCGCCGTCGACAGTGCGTCTTGCAGCGTCTCACAAAGAGCGCGACGCTAGCAGGCGTCGACGCCAAGACGGACGGCTGTCGCTTCGCGGCCACTCTCGACGCTTCAGCCTATTTTGCCGCTTGGAGAAACGTTCTTAGATCTTTCATTTGACAAGCTCCACGGAAGAGCGGACTTCGAAAACGGTTCTCCTCTGTTCAGGCACGTAGCCAGGATTTTGTTTCAGGAAACGGGGAGGGGGGGGGGGGGGGGGGGGGGTTGCCATGACAAAATGCGGTATGAGGGGAGGGGGGGGGGGGGCTGGGCCCCATGCCCCCCCCCCCCTCCTGGCTACGTGCCTGCCTCTGTTGCCTTACACGCGAGCAGGTACGGGCGGACAGAGCCGCATTGACCATTTCGCTGTCTACTAACACGAACCGCTGCTTGCGTCCCAAGCGACTTGCAGTTTCTCCATCTTTGTGAGCCTGTCGAGCTTGCTTATGTGACCAGTGCCAGAAAGCATATATGCTACACGAACAACAAAGTTAGAGATTTAGCGAGGGGATGCGGCTGTACGATTTAATGTCTTGGAGAAGGCAAGTTGGTTTACAAAAATATTCGAATGATTTGAACAGATCTCGCCCTTTTCGGCTCTTTTTGCGTTCGCCTGGAAAAGTGGTGGTTAAATGTTTCATCGCCGTTTCAAGCAGCGGTGTTGAGGTGTGCCTTGTTCATTCTTCTTGTGAACCGGGAGTTCGCTGGGACGTCGAAGACCGGAGCACCGCTTGGTGGCATTTGCAAAGGAAAGGCTTTATATATAGAGTTTGGTCAATGGGAGGAACGAGCAGAGCCAGGACGTAAACCAGGCGCAGATCGAGGGCTTAATATGCTCGACGTGCTCCCTTGGCCAACCAGAAGCCGAATACTCTCCCCTAGCGGTGGTAGCGAGAAACTTTGTTATTAAATGCGTAAGAGTTAAATGCAGTAACTATTCGCGCCGAAAATAGGGTGCACGTGATGTTTCGAATGTGATCGTGCAAAAAGATCTAAGAAACGAATGCGCCGCTCGAACTCTGTTTTGCACGGACGGGGGTCTGACTGCTCGGACGGCAGATTCCCGGCCCCCGGCGCCTGGAGTACAGATTGCATCGATCCTTCTGCTAGTCGCGAAGGTTTTTTTGTATCTTGCATATCTTTATATGTCTTCCACCATGATTTCGCATGACCGTGATCGAAACGTCACGTGCACCATATTTTCAGTCACCGAGAGTTACTCCGACGCACTTATTAATTATGCTTCTTGCGACCACCGCCGGGATATTATTCGCGGCTTCTGGTTGGCCACATTTGAATTTGTGAGGACGCCCTGGAACACGTCCAGCCCACACTCGGCCAATGGCGCCTCCTCATGTGCCTCTTATACGTCCCAATGAATGGCCAAATTACGGCTCAGCGGGCGGATAGCGTTCTTAGCTCCACCAGCGTGAACGCCTTCTCACGGGAAACAAAAGAAGAACCATTTTCGAAGGACGTTATTTACGAAAACTTTATGTTTTCTATAAAACCACGAAATAATTCATTTGCACAGCAGGTAATGTGCGTGCAACGTTTGCCCGTTCTGCCGCTGCTTTCCATAGGGCGGGCTGATAGTGTAACGAGTAAAGTCCCCCTATCTTGTAGCGAGCGACATCGAGCGTACACTCCACGAAAATGCGCGTTTTAGGAAGCTCGTCAACTGACTGCTTAGGGCGGGACGGGGGTCCACTAACAATGACGTCATTAGCCATAGAGCGAGGCTCAGTGGCTCTTTTTCGCTCGGCAGGACCCCTCGGACAAGATGGTGGTGCTTGGCTGCCAGTACAACGTGGGGGGCACCATGGACGCTGCCGCCTTCCTCACGGCACTCTGCGAGAACAAGCTCAACTGCAACAAGGTGAAACGCACCCGTCGAGACGCGGGAAGTGCGCGTCGCGCTTTTCGGGCACGCTTTTAAGCCCGAGTCAAATACATAGTACAAAAAGCGGCACGCAGGCACTTCCCGAGGCGTGTCTTGTATGACGCTCACATTTGTCATACGAAAACTTTCTGCACAGATGTATGAAGCTAACATGCTTGCTGTGCGCAGATGTCATCGTGTCTGGAGCGAACGCCTTTTTTGTACGACGTCGGAGTGCGGCTTTACGTGACCGAGTGGTACCCAAGCGTCCGCTCATTAACTCGGGATGTTGTCGTAGAATTGGCGGCGAAACGCGTACGTACCGCTCCTGAGAAATTTTGTCCAAGCACTCGGTTTTCTGCATCTCTCGACATTTCTCTATTCTGAGAAGGGGACATGACGTCAGCAGATTTTATCAGTTGGAGTAAGCAACAGGTTAGAAATGCCGCTCGCACTTGTGCCTTGGCTGAGCACATGCTCCCGAGACGCCCTACATAGGGCGTCTTAAAAGCATGCGCTCAGCCAAGGCACGAATGCGAGCAGCATTTCTAACCTATCGCTTACTCCAACTGAGGTTAACGAAGCTAGCAAGGACGCGCTGGAGGTGGGCTTCCTAGTGCACCACTTGGCAACCGGGTGCATTCTTTAGGGGAGCGGTGCCCACGTGACTGATCCCTACCACCCCGGCGCTTGCACTGCCTGCGAGGGCGACTCGCACCGGAGAATAGACATTAGCTAGTAAAGCGAGCTAGCAACCATGTCTACATATCATCCTGTACTCGAAGAATATTCGATTTAGACGAACATGGTTTAATTTGATAGCAGTTACAACTAGACCGATCACGCCTATTATCAAACCAGCCATTGTTAGCGCATTAATTTTCGGAAATCTTCAAACATTTAAAGTGTCTGAACGTCAATAAATATGACGGAATAAAATAACGATACAGAAGAGGGGAGGCTGGCGAGGTTAATTTTGAAAGTTTCACTATACTATGGCAACAAAACGAAAGTCCGCAGAAAACGTTATTTCTGGGTACCCGAATCGGCTCCAAGAGTTAAAATGACGAGCAAATGTCGGGGGTGCATCACGCCTATGAAGGTGCGTTTCAGTGGCCATTTAGCACCCGGATAGAAGCGGCCCATAAGTGAGCGTTCTGTTTCGACAAAGTTGTCATTAAGCGACGCCATAGGCCGGATATTCTTTGCGACTCTCAACCAGTGTTGGCGGTAACCTGTTACTAGTAACGGCCTTACTGGTAACACTCACATTTTTTCTGAAACGTGTAACGTATTCGTTACCTTTTCAAAACAGTACTTACGTTACTTATTTCGAGTAACGGATGACGTAGTTACGTTACTCGTTGCGTGTTCTTGTAAGGCTTAAAAAAATCACACTTCAATTGTTTCCGTGTTTGTAGGCGCCAAGTCATATGGATTTTTAAGTTCTTTTCGTTCTTCTTTGTGATCCTTTTGTTGCGAATATTTAGGAGAAATCGTAAAGAAGATAAGGTTCTTATGTTGTTTCTTCATAGACATATTGTTTCTTAAAGTGTGGTGCCTATGCATACCTTATGGGGTTATCCCCGTCCAGCTTCCCCACCCCCGAGTGACACAACACCACTTTCCATATAAACATTTATTCACTCACATTGTTGAGTTCTCCGGCGGTCGCACCTCACGGTATCCAAACGTCCGTCCACCTTCACGTCCGTCGCACCACTCCCCCGTCCTCCCACCGACCCCTCGAGCCCCCGCCGGTCCTTCCCTCGCACCCCTTTTTCCCGGCGCCAGGCCGACGGGTGCCTTCCTCCCGACGTGGGTGTTCTCCCGGCTCCCCATCCACGCCGTCCAGGCCCTTGGGGGTCGGGCTCCTTTGAAGGGGGCCCGAGGACGTCCGCCGCCGCCACCAGCCGGCCACTATCAGCCTCGATCGGCTACCGAGGGTGCCGACGGCTCGCCCTTGAGCCGCCCTCGGCCGCCAGCGTCTGGTAGCAATCAGGCGGCGGCAGAGCGGGCCCCCACAACCTGTACCGTCAAACTAGTAAAACACGTTCATTCCTAATTACCAAAGTAACGGAAAAGTAACGGGCGTTACTTTTTATCTGTAACGGTAACGAGTTACTTTTTTTAAAAGTGACTCAACATTAACGTAGGTCGGTAACGCGTTCATTTTATTTGGAAGTAACGAGTAACGTATTTCGCTACTTTTTTTTCGGTAACGCCTACAACACTGCTCTCAACGTGCCGCAGAGATGTCTCCGCCAAAATAATTTTCCGTTCCGATCTTTCTTTCTTTACAGTTACGTTCCTGCATGGCCACTGAAAGGGTGAGTGGGTTACTCTTTTTTCCCGAATACGCCCTAACCACAATGGCAACCGAACCCATAAAGTGCTATTCATCAATCGAACCGGTCGCATCGATGTTAGTACACAGCGGCCGCTCTTCTTCGAACTTGGGGACTTCTGTGTTAGAGGGGGGCAAGTCGGCCGGAGCTCACAATGTTGGAGTGTCGAGCATGACTGTTAGCGCTGCGCGCTGAACAGCGCTCGAGGCGCTAACCAGAACTGTAAAGGAAGCAAATAAAAGTATATAACTTATTGCAATTGATGTCAGTCTTACTAGGAAATAAAATGAGAGAAAAAAAAACCTTTTAACTTAGCCCAGTTGCCATTCCTTATAAACATTATATTGACAAATGCAGAAGTGCAGATTGATTTAATTTCAACATCGGCGCAACATGATCTCACTACCTCCAACTCTACCGAGAGCAGGGTTGAATCTACACGGAACTGCGCCAATTTCTTTTCCGCTCTAAAAATCGAACCGCGTGCCAGCTGTTCGAGGCGGGGTTTAGGCCGCACGTCCGGAAGCTTCCTGGCTCGAGACGACGTCCATTCCCCGAAGTGAAGAACCCAGGGGTTCAGTGGAGGTGGGAGACTTGGTAACGTAACGAACGGTTTAATTACATGGTAGCGATACAGTCGTCAAATCCGAGAGAACAACGGAGCAGCCTCGCGCTCCGCCTTATATAGGGTCCGTTTCTCCCTCACTCTCCGCCAGGGCAGCCAGTACGATGCAGCAACCCGCCGTCAAGTGCGACGCAGCAAAGTCCGCCGTCCAGTGTGACGTAGCCAAAGTTCTCCGCAGTTAGGCCATGCCTCTCTCCCTTTCCGGAGCGCACCAACCACCACGCACACACACACGTCCCGCCAACGTCACGGGCGCGTTGAGACTTGTTGCCGCAGGCCCCGTCACGCAGGCGACGGTCCCGGACTCGTCGGGACTCGTTTCGCGCAGGCCCCGACAAGCGGGCGACGGTCCCGGACTCGTCTTGACTCGTTTCCGCAGCGTTGAAACTCGGAAGAAGGTCGCCGAAGGTTCCATTCTTAACACAGCTATCACAGGACGTTGCGGGACAGTTTAAAACAAATTTTTATGGGAACGTCCACAGTTTTGAGGAAAACTCCCCCGGTAAATCGACACTCGTGTTTTAAAAGTTGGTACTCCTCCGATAATTTGGACTTTTCGTGGGGCTTGCAGGACAGCTTATTATCGTTGCGCGACATTCTGTTCGACAACCAGCGCAATGTCTGCTAGGAAAAATTCACATTTTCGCATATGGCTCAAACAGGGTATCGAGTGATGAAAGGCATCCCCGATTATTTCCAGTAATACTCGCGTTATATTCACCTAGAGCTACTAAATGAGCTACGCTTAGAGTATCGGCACTCCGTTCCCTGATCTGCTAGTGGGAGCCGCCATCTTGGTGCTTAGTGCAGAGCAGACGCAACTGTCGATCGTCACAATTCAAAAATGCGACTTCCTCTGCTTTAAATACGGTGTCGTGGAGCCCAGGTGATGTTGCTGTGCTCTGTCGCGAACTATTTTAACATATCTCGAGTGTGGAAAAGCGTTTTCTGCGATTTCAGATAACGCTTCAAATAACCGGCAAGCATGGTTTTAGGCACCAGAATGGCTGAAGTGTCGTTACTCTGAAGCGTAGCTTACTTAGTAGCTCTATATTCACCGATAGAGTGAAAAGAGCAAACAGGCCTTTGGAAGGCCCGGCCTCCAGCACGAGCTCTATGACTTCCGCTGTGCTTTGGCTGTGCGCGCGCGCGCTCGAGGGGCACGAGACGCCCCCAGCCGAAGCATAGCCTCCTCGATACTCACAAAGCCTGGCAGAACGCCACGAGAAGCGGTCGTCGAAATGGAAAAGGTGGAGCGGCAGACAACGGATGAGAGGAGTGCCACGTGACTGGCGCCCCGCTGCGGCGAGACGCCGAAACACACTTCTCCCGAGCGAAAAGGTGTGTTTCGGGTCCTCGCCGCTCCAAAAGCTGTGCTCTGACGTCCTGGTTCTCCGAAAAAAGGCTCTTTGATGCTCTGTGCTACCAGATCCTCGCGCTCCGAAATTCCGACCGGGCACTTTATGGCTCCGTCGTCGAACTGCCAGGTTTTGTGAGTATAGAGGAGGCTATGGCCGAGGGCAAGAAGCTAGCGCTGGAGGCAACTGAAGCTCCTCCCGCTCACCTTGTAAGTGACTATTGGCGGCATAATGTTTTTGGAAGCGCCCTTCCATGGTTCCCTCTCCTGACGTCGTTACCTCGCGAACAAAACGTTCGACGGTGATTGTAATTAGCATGGTGGAAGCTTGAAATCACTGGGCTCTCAGAGCTACACTGCCATCACCGTCAAAATTCGAGTTCATACATTCCTTTTATTTCCGTCGATGAGGAATCCTTCGCTAACGTAATACTCGGCATTCAGCCAATCGTGGCAGGAGGACCACTGCGACTCTTCCGATCGCTCACGTCGCCAACAGTATGTTGAGTGTGCGCTTAGATTGATCCCTAGGACGAGCACTTTACACCATGCTAATACTTAAAAAAAACACACACACAACAAAACGAGATTGATTGTTAGCGTTAGCAATGCCGCCCTGTGTGCGTACGGACGGAGGTCCTCGCGTCCGTTCCCCCGCCGCGTAGAGCGGTCACCTACCTCCAGGCGGCTTCGCCTTGCACTCCGGAGGCGTGCGGAGAAAGCCGCT